ATAAGCACAAAACTAAACAATATGAGTATGCACTAAACAAGTTTCCAGTGAGCCCAGAGATTATCAGAAAACTTTGGGAGTGTTTTTGTTTACTCTTCCATGTAGCATTAGATATGTGGAGTAGATGCCTGGAAAAACGCAGCTAACGTTATGTTTATTAACTCGTTCAAAAATGGACAAATATTTGATGAAGAAAAAGATTGAAAGTTATAAGAAGTATAAGCAGAAATGATGTGTGAAAAGTAATATTTTTGTTGTTTTTGGAATTGGTTGAACAAGCTAGAATGATGCTAGATCAATGTCCAGCAGTTTCACACTATTACCTTTGGGCATCAAGATAAATCTTTGCAAAACGGTATCGCAAAACATTAAACAAGTGTGGTCAGACACGATAGAACAGAATGTACATGTTTCAGTGAAGAAGCGAGCTTTATTGGCCCAATAGTATTTTCTTATTGTATTGTTTCTTGTGCCCTTAGTTTAGATACCACTAACTTAAAATACATTGCCCTGATTGATTATCAGGACTATTGCCTTTTGATTTCAAAGTTCTTCTTATAGGGATTTCTTGAAAAATCTGCTTCCTTCAGTGAAAATGAGACTGTTCTGCTTATGGGTTTAATTGCTTATTAAGATTAGTAGTCTTCAAGAAAGGTAAAGATTTCATGTAACATTGGAACGATTTGCTATTGTTCATTCTAATTATTCAATTTTACCAAAGATTATTCCATTGAATTGGGACCAAATGTGTTTGATATTTGGGAGAGGAAGGTTCTCATCGAGAAGAGAGGTGTTAGTGATGAGAAATTGAGTACTTTCCTGTTCAGTGATGCCCAGCATGCTCTGCTGCTACCCCACATGAAGGGCGATATACAAATGCAAGTCATTGTTGAATCTAAGAGAATGTCTTATTTCAGGGCACACAAATGGGTTCAATGCGTCACAAAATATTTCTCTGCACCTCTGATTATTTTGCCCGCAGATACACAGTCAATCCACTTTACAGTATATTCTGCGAGGTGCTTTGAGATTTCTCGAAGACCTGATAAGGCGCTATCTCAAATGCAAGAATTATTATTTATTTTTATCTTTTTGCTAGTTTGATGGCAGAGAAAGCATGTTTGGGTGCTTTCTTTAGCCACAGAGTAAATTGGGCGAAGGCAGGTCCAGGCTCTTTCTCAGCAGCCATTATCAATGGAACCAGATAATTTTCCAATTAGATAGACTTCTTGAGCTGTGTGGTAAACAATCCTGGGAGTAAAACTTGACCCAGATGTGTTTTATCTGTTCTCTCAGATTGTTCCGTCTGCTTGTAAAGATTGGATATTTGGGTGCATCTCCCATTTTCTTTTGTTGGAAAATGGTAAAATGTTCAAAACTAATTTACTTCTTAGAATGAGTATATTTCACTAGTATTACCTACTGTAGAAGAAACTTTGGATGTGTTTATGCAGGATAATAGCCTAAGCAGCATTTTGGGATTTTCAGTTAAAAGCTGTGTAATATTGAATCTTCTCCCTCAAGGCTTGGTGACACAATGAAAGGTTTCTCATCAGATTTCATACTAGAATCATAGCTACATAAGGGAAAACATATCGCTGCCTATGCCAAATTTTGTGTTTGTTATTGTTATCCATCCTTGTAGATGTTAATAAATGTAAATACAACAACAATGCTAAGTTGCATTTATATAGGATCACATATATTATCCTATGTTATCCTATGTTATCACATAGGATAAGGTCTCAGATAGCTATATATCCTTTTGTGCCCTTGCACCTCCCTATCATCACCCTATCCGACTCTTCTGCTCATCCTCCTCAGTCACCTAACTGCTCCCTCCATGCCACCACCATCGGTGGCTGAGCCTTCCAACAAATACGCCCTTAACCTCTAAAAATCCTTCACTCTGTCTCTCTTTAAATCATGTGCCTGTGCCTACAAGTCAAATATTTAAATCAAAGATTTAAGCCTTCCCCGCTACCCATATCGAGTGCTTGATATCCACCCTTGTTTTTGTGAAAAACTCAGATCTCGTCCTATGTTAAAGGGGCTCTATAAATGCAAGTTGTTGCAAAAGCCAACAACTTGCATTTATAAAGGAGTGGGTTTCTTTTGATTGAAGTTGCCATCCTCTGTTGAGCGTGTTGACAATTTTGCAAGCATGGAGGGGTAAATGCCAAAATTACAATTGCAATCATTTCTTTTGGTTGTTAATTAAATAATTGAGGGCATCTGTAATTCCCTGTGCAAATTGTGTTTATGCATGGTGAACACAACCTGCAAATTAGTTCCCACAGTTGCTATTATTGCTTTTGTAAATGTTTGCACATCATGTGTAAGGAAGAGGTTAGGCTCTGAAAATCCCTAATGTAGTTGTAGTGCACTGTAACTTAAGCTGTTGTTTTGTCAACCCTGCTTGTCACTTAAAACATTTTCTGTGCACTTATTTGTGCTGGCATGGATTTCGCTGTGGCGCATTGATGTTTGCAACATTTACTTTCATCGGGCTTTACTTATATAGGAGGGAAGCTGTTAGGTGAGGTTGTATGTCTTTCATGCAGTAGATTCAACCTTTTAAGAAATAAGCCACTGTAAGTAGAAAAGTACGTTGGGTGTATTATATGAAATAACCTAGCCGAAGGTGGATTTTCTTGTCCTCTGTGCACACAATGAAATTCAAAACCAACTTCCTAACACATCCTTAACCATTGGTAATATGTGTGTGTATTTATACTTAATATATTTTTACAATAGCGCATTTGAAGCTCTCCAGTAATTAAACATGATGTACCTTAACAAAACATGATATGGTATAAAAATTACAGTTCATCTGGATTAATCCTATTGCTCTGTTTGACAGCAACCTGGTCTAATTTTACTCCTGCTAATTAAATCATGTGTTTCAGCTTTTACACGGTTCCGTGCTTAGTTTATTTGAGTGAAATAATATTCTAAATTCGCTAAAATAACATTTACCAACATTTACTGAATTTTTTAAAATAACAGCGATTTTTTCTTCCTTTTCAAAAATGGCTTAACAGCTTGAAAATGGCTTAATACAAGGGCAAATCTTCAAATATTTGTAATGTCATTTAAAGAAAGACATGTAGATATGATGATGCAAACTTCAGTCTATAAAACAGCCAAGTGCTAACTCATATCAGAATATTTCTATTCATCAGAGAGTTTTGTTATTGTTTTTTCTCACTCACATCCATTCTCTGTCCAGGACTGCTTTTCTTCACCTCTGCCGCGTAGCCCGCCTGCGCCCCTACCTCACTTTAAATGCCACCAAAACCCTGCCTCTTGGCTGGAACTTTCCGAATGCACTTCTAAGCTAGTCTCCTGAACACCTCAATCCGAAACTCTGCCACTCGCATCCTCACTCACACCAAACTCCTTCAGTCCATCTTCGCCAGGTTCCACTGGCTCCCTGTCTCTCAATGGATTAATTTCAAGGACCTCACCTTCTACTACAAATCCCTCCACACCCTTGTGCCTCCCCATCTTTCCGATCTCCTCCGACTCCACTCTCCTGCTCGTCCCACCCCCTCATGATGAGTTCAGTTAAACCTGTTGTGCATCCCCCACCCTACCTGTGCCACCATTGGTACCAAGCTTTGCAATTCTACACTGCCTAACTTCTGGAACTCCCTCCCTTGGCTCCTCTGTCTCACTCCCCCTTTCCCTATCTGTCTTCAAGTCTCACCTTAAAATCTACCTCTTCCTCTTTCCCCCTCTCAACCCTCGCCAGGCTCGGCAGCCACCCCCATTATAAAGCGCTCTGAGTTGTTATTCTACGTGAAGACGGCTATATAAGTACAAGCTGTTGCTGTTGTTTTACATGCACAGAAGGATGAAGTGCCTTTTACTGCATTGCACAATGACATTCATTTTCATTACACAGGCTCCAGTGGAGTATTTATTGGCCATTTCATATTTTGTTCTAGCGCCAATTTATGGTTTTAAAATGCCTTTGTAACAATGAATCCTTTTTTTAAATCATTTCAAATAATAATAATATAACAAATTCCAATTAACTTCAACCTCCTCCACACTTAAACACAATTTTTTTAATATAAATTTTCAATTGATCTTCTCATTGTTTTAGTAATTGGCCTTGACTACAAAAATGATGTCGTTTGGCATGTGCATATTGGGCTGTTGAGATTTCATCAAATATAGAATTCAATTTCTTAAACTGTAGAAACCTTTCTCATTGCTGTTTTCTTAACCTGCAAAATCAGTAATGCAAATTATATAGCATAGTAATAGTTCCTGCATTATACCATTATACAGTCTAGATAATACTTATCATGTCAAAATAAGACACTATATCAAATGCAAGAATTATTATTATTAAATATTTCCAATTAATCTTGACACAATGTGTTTGTGCACTTTTTAAAGTGTTCTTACTGTTGCTACCAGACAAATATTTCAGCTGATCTATGGCAGCAATATGCCACAAGTAACGATTAAATAATAAATATAATTCTTGAATTTTATATTTTATATGGCACCTTATCACGTCTTCGAGACATCTCAAAGCTCTTCACAGAATATACTGTAAAGTGAATTGACTGTATCTTTTTTGTGGAATGCGGCAATAAATTGCGCACGGCAGTTGACCAAATTTAATCTGTTTTGTGGGAGGGAGGTAGACTGGAGGAGGGTTTAAATGAGGGAAGAATAGTGGCCAGAACAGCTAGAAAATTCTTGATCATCTATGACATAGTGTCATGAATGTTTTAACGACCATCTGAACCGGGAGATAGGTTTAACTTCCCAACCAAAGTCGACACTTGCCTCAATGTTACACTGGGGTGTCCGCTTATATCATGAACTGAAATCCTGGCGGGGTTCTAGCCCATAAATCGCTGACCCAGAAGCAACGAGTTGAGGCAAACTGACATGCATTCTGCTTAATAATGATTGTTAATGTACAGCAGTTGTTGTTTTTAATGTCCTACTGATACAAGTATTTTTTTTTGCAGTCATATCCGGTCCCAAGCATTGGAGATGAAGACTTTGATATCCCTCCTATTACACCTCCCACCATGCCAGACCACTCCCTTGTCCACTTGTCTGACGCGGAATCTGCCTACCACTCAATCTGCCACTCAGTGCCCCAGAACGGGCTACTTCCATTCAACCCTCAGAATATGAATCTTCCTGCAATAACAGTGTCTAATATGTTGGGACAAGACGGAGCCCTGCTTTCAAACTGCCTTTCTGTGGTAGGTACTTCATTTATAATTTTGTCATGAAACCTCTCGAAGGTAGATCTCAAAAGCAATTGGTAAGTCGGCCAAAAACATTCTAATATTTATGGAGGGAGATTATTATTTGGCACCTATTTTAGTACAGTTGTAATTTTTCATGTTTAGTCAGTTCAGAACCTCTGGAAAAATTGTTGCTGAGTTAATGTCTCATTCTCCCTAATCTGTCAAATTATTAGGAACAAGGTTGAGTTGAGCAAACACATGATTTACATCATACAAAGAAAATTAAAAGTTCCTAATAATATAGGGGTAATAAATGTGTATCATCGATAATTAATATCTATTCATAAAAGATAGATAAGCACATAATACTAAGCAAAGCCTTCAAATGTAGATTTCACAAGATCACAAGAAAGATTTGCATGAAGAAGGTCCTTGGACTCATTTGATGTTATTCTTTCCGAATACCACTGTACCATTACCATAATGGTATCAAGCTGATCTTAAATGGGGTCCTTATAGAGTCCTTCTCTCTGATACCCTACCTGGCATCTTGTTCCAGCTGTTATCTATCCTCTGTGTAAAGACACATTTCCTGGTGTCTGGCCTTAAACTGCCTTTCGCAACTCTGAGCATATGTCCTCTCATCTGCTGCCTTGTTGATATATTTGAAAGCATCATTACAGATGTGCTTTCTCTATCCCATTTGGCATCTTATGGTTTCCTCTGAGACTTCTTGTTTCAAGGTTGAAGATCTGTAGCTTATCTAGTCATTCCTCGTAGCTCATCCCTTTAACACAGGGGATCATCCGTGCTCTCCTCTGTACTGCCAGACAGTTACACTTTTGATCAAGTGGAAATGATTTATGATCTTCAAGAATTTGGATTCTGTTTAGATTTTGTCATGTTCAATAACCTAAACTTCCTGCAAAATGACTGCTTTCCTAAAGTCTGAATTAAAACAATAAAACAGTCATAAAGTGCATTTTGGCTTTATGCTTCCAGAAATAATAGTCACACATAAACAATGAATATTTACGATTGTATTGTTGGAAACCAGCATATTAAACGTACTTCACTGAATAGGTTCATGATGTTATAATGCAAGCCTATCAGAGGGCAGGTGATGCTGCCGGCAGAGATGGTGTTCTCAGCTTTCATGTTTATGCCCAGAGATTGAGATTAATATCTAAACCAGAGAAAGTTGAAAAATAAATACTTTCTCTTCCTCTGACTATTGTGGCATCTCTGATGGTTGTATAATACATCAAGGCAAGCTCAGTCAAGGTTCCATTGAAGCTATCTGCAGCACAGAATTATATCGATTATGCAACCTCACTTCTGAGTAACCTCTGCTGAGGATATGGAATCAGAATGATACAGCACAGAAACAGGTAATTTGACCCATCAAGTCTGTGCTGTGTGTGGGGGGCAGAAGGTGGGAGGTCCTCACAAGAGCTAATCCAGTCCCACTTTTCTGCTCGCTCTATGTAGTCTTTAATATTCATCCTTGGCAATCATCTACCTGATACCATTTTAAGATAATTTATGATCTCTGCTGCAACTCCGATTTGAGGCAGAGAATTCCACATTCATTGTCCAGTATTTTAGTAGCCAAAAGGAGTAAAACGTGCACCTGTTTTGCCAAATAAGTGTACCATCTGAGGTTGGAGCCTGCAACCCTTTGCAAAAAGAGCAGCATGTACTGTAGTAGCACCCATCACCAGCCCTGTCTGTGTCTGTATTGTTACTGGAACAAAACTCATTGGTTATTATGGAACAATGAGTTTTATTATTCAACTTCAAGATCCTCCCTCTAGTGTTCAAGTCCATTCACTCCCTGGCACCTTCCTACCTCTCTGACCTCCCCACTCCCCAATCCACCACCCGGCACCTCTGCTCGACTGGCACCGGCCTCCTGCTCATCCCTCGCACCCTCCCCCTGGCTCGGAGTCAGGCTTTGCCACTGTTAAGCGCTCTGAGATGCTACCCTATGTGGAGGCTGCTATATAAGTCCAAGTTGTTGTTGTATTATTGCCTTGATCTTCATTTTTTCATTAGGTATTTGCTTTTGCAAGCAAAAAAAACTATTGCATGATAATCTCTCTTAAAATTACCTTACTGCTAAATGGAATTGCTTGTGCCTGCTTGGATTAGTTTCTCCATAGATCGAGCTATTTGTTGGCAGATTGAAGAAGTTCCGAACCAATGTACAACTGTAGTACCAATTTGTACTGGTAGCCGCTCCAGGCTCTAAACCCCATGGGATTGGGTTCCAGAATACTTTTAGCATTCATTCTTTGTGCCTAGCTACTATATGGGTTTACTTTTATACTCATAGCCTATTATACAATCGTTTTGACAACCATCACATCAGTAGGTGCTCAGCAGGTCATGTGAGACTAAAGCAAAATGCTTCTTCAGGTCTTTGGGGAGAACAACAGCAAATTCAAATGTAGGATGGCAGCATGAATTCTTAATATTTTGCAACTATTGAAAGGACTACCAGAATATCCAAGGAGACAGCCTTAGCAGGAAGGATACAAACAGCCCTTGATTTAATGAAAACTGAGAGGACAAATATTTTTAATACCATCTCCAAACCCTTGTCAAACAAAGCTGGATTGATGAAGAACAGATCAATTAAATACATGTATGAAGCATGTAAATAAACAAACTTAAGGCCATAATGTATCTTTCAAAATCTTCATTTTCATCTTTAAGTATTGTGCATATTTCTAATTTGTTTTTCTATGGATCAAAACGAATATTTGAAATTGAGACCAATCAAATCCCTTAAGAATGCACATATTGAAAAAAATAATATTGTAAAGTGATTGTAGCATATTTATAGCATAGAAGTGGGCCATTTGGCCCATCCAGTAATACTGAAAGTGATTACTTTATAGTGGATTTATGCCATGGAGTTGTTAGATACGACGGCAACACTTGTCCAACAATAGCTTCAAGAGATTACGACATGTGCTGAAACTGGTTTCTGATTACATCTGTAGATCCAATTAAATATTCAACATCCTACATTTATATACCATCTTTCACGTAAAACAAACATCTCAAAGTGCACCACAAAATGAGGTTAATTGGAAATGAAGTGAATGTTGTTTTGTAGGCAAACACAGCAGCTAATTTGCACCAGTTACATGCCACAAACAACAAGGAATAAGGAGCCAATTAATTTCAGTTTTTGGGGTGAATATAAGACTAAATGAACCTTTCTCCTCTGCCATGCTTCTTTGTAATAGTGGCAGGAGATTCTATAATGTCCACCTGAATCACATGACAGACATGACCTAAATCAATGGATCAGTAGAAAAAGGGTTGATGATCTGGAAATCACAAATAATAAATTTATATTTAACATCGAACGTTGTTTTGTAGGTAACCAATGTTCACCAGCATTGCCTCACTAAGAACAATGGGATGAACACTCAGATGAATTTGAATTGTTTTGGGATAAACATTTAATATTTATGTTTGGATGCACATATTGTAAGGAACGAACCCAAGACTATAAAATGTACACATTCAAATAGTCAGCGTGTGCATGTCAACATAAAAATGTCAATTGCCTTGTAGAAGCATATTTTGCCTCTAATGGTTCCCTTTGAGATAGTAAATTCAACATCTCTTACTATCAGCTTGGAGCCTTGAGAGTGCTGCCATGGGAGGTGCCAAACACAAGCATGGTATTCCCTCAAGGAGCCAAGGAGGAGCAGTTAGAATGTGTCTCCACAGCTGCCCTCTGGAATTCCCTTCACCTTGGTCCCTCTTTCCCTGTCTTCAGATCACACCTGAAGACTTTCCTCTGCACCTGTGCCTATGGTCACTTTTCCTTTCTTCTTGACTTGGTATCAAACTACGTCATTATTAAGATGATGGAGATGCTGTGATGGACTCTATATAAATACACGTTGTTGTTGTTGTTGCTCTGCATCTCTTTGCAACAGGAATCTGGGGGCAGTTACCTGACGGCTCTAATTTGGTAACTTGTCCATCACATGGAAACTTAACAGCAAGAGGGGCAGACAGATACAATGAATGTTGAAGAAATAAAACAAATGAGAAGTTAACTGCCTTCTATTTGAATTAGGGCACTCTGTGAAACTACTGAGCTCATTTGGTTCAGGCTGATCACCATATTGTACCAACAGCCACAGCTAAATACCAACCCAAGCAGAGCACCCACAACCTATTATTAAGTGCAAAAGACCAGTGAATGAAGAACTAAAGTTACCAAAACTTACACTTACAAACCTTAACAACCATGCAAGATATGGTGGGTGTCTGCTGTTACACATAGTTGGACTGAAACCAAACTGAGGTTTCCATGGGTACAAGGCAGTGTTTCATATGAATGGTGCTATCTCTTTATATGCCTTTCACTTTTTCAAGATTGCCTACATCTCTGACATTTCTCATAGCTACAGTAACTTGTCAGTGCAGACAGCAAATAAATGGTGAAACACCAGTTCTATTCAGGCTGCTCAAATAACCTCATTATATTGAGAATAAAAGAGCATAAATGCGTTGAGATTGACCAGATTATTATTTATTTTGCCCGGGTTTGATGAACGACAATCACTAAATGTCTGCACGATTGTAGTTAATTTAAAGCTGTTGCACAAAATCAAGTTTGGTTAACTTTAATGCTTCACAGGCAATGATCTGAAATGTTTAGAACTCATGGGGGGGGCGGGCGGGGGGGGAATATCACTGTTCCAGCAAAAGTGTTTTCCAAATGGTTGTACTTCTGTCAATGCCAATTTTAAATTGGGGGGATTTAATATTCTACTGTTGATTCATTGTTCCATCAAATGCAGTGGAAATGGGATTGTGGCACACTTGGAAGACTCGACAGACAATCGCGTTTTCAACTTCACTGCACACTCTCTTGTTCCTTTTCTGAAAGGATTCTGCAAAGCAATCATGTGTCGTCTCTTTTGACTAAAGATAAACATTCCATAATTAAAGTGTGCAAACTCTCTCATGACATA